TGAGACATATACACCAATTAAAAGGCATGATTATTACACAGTCAACCCTTATTCAGAGTGCCTAAATGTATATATTTTTTTACAGTGCAGATTTTGGCTTTTTTGGGACCATCGCACATGTGTGTAAGTAACAAGTAATGCTGTATAATCTGCAACAACTGTCAGGTGGTGTTATTGATAATCTTTGCAAAAGAGCCCGCACCAATATTGATTTTGACAAATATCTTTTAATTGAAATATGGGAGCAAAAACAAAAGGGTAGAATTGATCATATCATATTATGTTATTATTATTGCAACTGCTTTTATTATATTGTGTTGTTTTGTTTATATATATATATATATATTTATGTGTGTGTGTGTACAAATGATTATTGCAACTGTGTTTATTATATTGTGTTGTTTTGTTTGTGTGTGTTTATTTATACATACATATGTATGTGTGTGTACAAATGAATTAATATAAAGTGTATATGTGAGTGTGTGTATAAATGAATGAATAAATCTGTGTGTATAAATGAATAAATACACGTGTGAGTACATATAAGTGTGTGTTTATATATATATATGTCTATAAATGTGTGTATATATTTAAAAAGAGTATGAATTAATAAAAGTGTATATATATATATATATAAAATAGTATTATTAAATAATGCTGTCAGATAAATGAAGTACACAGTAATAGTTAAGGTTATAGTCAATATTCTGCACTTACACCAGCTGATAAGATCTTTAAAACGTCTTTTGTTTGTCCTGAAAACGAAATTTGAGGATACACACAGGCTATTTATAGATGATAAAACACCAGTAATACAATCTCAGGACTCTTCGATATGGCTTTGATTATAGGATCGTTTACTTTCAGTCAAACCAACTATTCAATATTCTGCTTTACCGCGACAGCTATAACTGCTGACGCTATCACGTAGAGCTACGTCGATGCTTGCGTAATGCGGAAGTGGGCGTGGTTAAATCTAAACTGGGTTGGAAAAACGATAGACGCGTTCAGTCTCTGTTTGAATGTGGGTTACATGAAAGAAGCTCATCTGGCCCTCTCTGCGATTCACAGAGGGCCCGCTATAGTAACTGAACGAGAGAGTAATGTCAAATGACAGTACAATTGACCAATCATATCTTCCCTCTAAATGGGTGGGTTTTATTATCGCGGACTAGATGACAAGTTCCGCCCGCTGTGAAACTTTTCTTGTTTCCATAGCAACAACAACTTCCTGTCAACAGCGTGAACTCGCCTTCAAAATAAAATCATGCCAAATTACACTTAAGACATACAACTGCAACGAAAGTAACAAACACAATGCAATATCATTTTCAATGTCAAAGAACATAAATTGGGTTCACAGGTCTTGTTTTGTGTGGTAGAGGGTCGCTGTCATTGATGCGTTTTGCACCCTGGGCCATTGTTTTGATATTCCGCTGAAGTATACGCTGTGACGTAATAACTATTTTTTTTTCTTTTTTTCGAGGGAAGGGGTGGGGGTCAGAGGGCCTAGGTATAAAGCTCACGGCTCGCCACTGGTTTTAAATGATACGTTTTAATCAGTGGTCACTTGGCAAAGGTTTAAGAACTTGTCTGGGTTTGATATCTTTGTGTGATGTTGGCCATCAGATGCTTACACATACCTTTAAGGTGAATATTTAGTTATTTTTGTTGGATATAAGCATGAGCGAATACATATTTTTTTCATTTACATTTTATAACTGACAAATGATGTAACCATTGTTGGTGCATTCAGTGGTCACTTCCCAGAAGCCATTTTCTGTCAACCTTGTGCAGCCGGTACCCTGGATGGATTTGTCTGGCTGCCCATTCCCCCACTTGGTAAAGGTCAGAGGTCGGTTCTTCATATCAGTTTGAAAATTCCCCTTATTGTTGACGTTGATCCAGGCTTCTTTGTAAATGTCCCCAAAGATCTGAGTCAGTATGTTGTTCTCCTCCTCGTTCTGGGGCAAAGCCAGCTCCAAGCCTTGTTGTGTGCAGAACTCGACGGCAGTGGAGAAAAAATCTCTCTCCTTGTAGGACACAAATAATTTCTGACCAACTCTCCGGACAAAGTCGTAGATTATAGCTAAAAAGAGAAGAGCATATTCAGAAAAAAACAAATATAACTGTTTTTACAAACTCAAAATGTTTTTTTGACTCTCAAGTTGCTCTCTGTTCTTTTTCTGACAGTAAAAGCTTTTTACTCTTTTACCTCCTGATTCAGACAAATTACATTCCTCTTAATGTCTGCATTAAAAAAGCTTGAATTTACTCAGTTCTCTTATAATGTTTTATTTCCCCGTATGGTTGGCAGCTTGGTGAACAGGAACCCCAAACAGGACATTTAATTTAGTTAATGCCAAAAAAACAACAATATAGTCTAGTGTTTCCGTGATCTAGTGTTTTTTTTTATTCCACTATGTTCCCTATTTTAGCTCTTTGAGCACAGTAAGGCAGTTGAGTTTTAAAACAGCTAACGTCAGACACTTTCCAAAAAGCCCAGCATATGGTGTTTCAAAGAGGGTACTTACCCAGCTCGAACTTCGAAAATACCACTGTTAAGGTTGTGTAGTCCTTGCTTCCACAATCTGGATTAAACACAATACATTCAATTACTAAATTGTAAATACTTTGGAGCTCACATGTGATTATATCAGGGCTGCTCGATTTGGAAAAAATAACTATTTGAGATAATTTTGACTGATCAATTGCGATATGATTGGCGATATAAAAGGAAATTACAATATAACATTATAATTAGCAAAAAATGCTTTATGAACATGTTTTGCTATTGCAAAATATTGTGCCAACTACTATTTGGATATTGCACTAGTCCATATTGCGAATTTAATAAAAAAGAAGATTTGTTTTGCAATCCAAGTCCCTTCACATCCAAGGCTCATAATTCAGTTCATCTTCAGTTCTTTTCATTATTAACATCACAATAACTCAGTAATGTTGTTACGTCTGCTGTTTGTAAATCAAATATTGCAACCATCTTAAGTTGAAATTGTGCAGGACAATGAAAACAGTCAAATGTGCACATGTTGTAGTATAGCGTTGAACACTCTATTGTAAATGACAAAAAGCCATTTTGTTTAGCTAAGCAAAGCCTATGAAAAATTGTTACAACTATAATGAGTTTGTTATATATATATTGTAAAATATCTTACCCTGGCAAACTCCAGGTCCTCCAGTTAGTCCACGTGGTCCAGGATCTCCTTCAGGACCCAAACTTCCTGTAGAGCGAGAACAAAATACCTGAATTCTCCTTCTCAGGGAATGCTCAATGTTTCTTATTAGTTAATTAATAATCAATACATTATGAAGTGTTTAATTCAACATCTTGACACGAGAGGCATAACAGTGAGAATTTAGGGGACACCTTAATGGGTCAGGAGTTAGGGGGAAGCAAGCTCAATTTTGATCAAAGGCATTACAACCATTCAAGCACAATAGATGTAACAGTAGGCCTTAAAGAGGACATGTTGTGATACATTTAAGGTTCACATTTGTATGTTGTGCTTCTACTCGCACACGTTTACATGCTTTAATGTTCAAAAAGGTCTTTATTGTTCTCGTACTGCCCGTGGCAATGTGCCAGAATTCAGACAAAAAGGATGGTCTTAGTTTGGTCAGAAATAAAACTCTTCAGAACACTACTCTGCTGAAATTGAAAATACCCACCTTTTTGACCAAGAGGACCAGCACCAGGTTCCCCAGTTGTCCCAGGGACACCAGGTGGTCCACGTGGTCCACGTGGACCACCAGCTAGCCCATCAAGACCATTTGGCCCATCAAGACCAGCTGGCCCATCAAGACCAGGTGGCCCAGGTTCCAGACAAAGACATGTCTGCCCATTAATAATACTGCTGCCAATAAAATTCAACAGGCAGACAACGCAGAATAGGGGCCACATCTTGATCTTCTCACTGTAGAACTGAAATGTATATTAAATATAGTTGAGATTTTTCTATTATAGAGCTTCACTAGAAATATGTGTATCATATTTTAGAACCAATAGTTCGTAGCTGGATGTAAATTGGTATTTTCCATGCACTCATAGATGTGGGTTCTGGAAATATTCCAAACAGAGGTATACTACCATCTAAATTAATACAAAACTACAGGCTAAATGTAATTAGCGAAACATGAAAAGTTGTTTAAAAGGACTTAATAACATAATCAAGTATTAAATAGTGATAAGCAGAGAAGAACTCACCGTATAAATGAAAGTGATCTGCTGTGTGCTGCTTCCTCTCTACTTCCAAAGAAAAATGTTTCATGTATGAGTGATCTGGTCAACAGATGCAAAGTTTGGGATTTTTCTTAGAATAGAGGAAGTTTATCAGTCCAAGATCCTCCCTCTTTTTTTAACCCAATAATGATAGTGTAGTAATAAGATATATAACTTAACTTTGTTTCAATGAGATAACATAAGAATTGTATTGACTTTGCACCCTGAGCTGTGATTTTAGGTGGCCATGTTGCATTAAAAGACTGAACTACACATATTTAAAGGTTGGTGACTGGATCTTTGCTATCTCAGTGACAAAATCAGTCCACAGCCAATGAGTGGGTGGGTCGAGGCTGCAAAAAACTCAGGATCAGCTTGTCAGTCCCGCTTAGGATTGAGCCATTGTTGTTGCTGTTAGCTTAGAGGGTAACCCCTTCACTTTTATCAGCAGGTGGCATTGAGTAATATTAGAATTTATTTACCGACAAACAAAGTATACATACACTGCAAAGCTACAGTACTAAGGACTTCATTCTCTTTCAATGGACCGCACACTCACTATTGCTAAAACATGCTAAAATATTCAAAAATATGCTTAGGCATGCTGACATCAATGAATGAATGAATGAACCTCACTGCTGTATACTTTTACTGGGGCATATGCTTTAAGAATACATATTTTTGTTTTTATTTACTTGAATGATATTTCATATATTGTTTACTTTCATATAGGAAAACATGTGCGACAGTAATGCTATGATGCTGAAGCAGTTCAACACTTTTAATGAGATTGACATATCACAAGCATGGTTTATGAAACGGTTACACCAGAAAGTAAAACTGTCTAAAAGCAGTTTGTCCTAATCTGAATCATTGAAGCAGTTTACATTTTGATTGATTAGTTCACAGATATTAATATGGGAGAATACAAAAGGCATACTTTTTTGCCAACTTCTTCCATTTCAGACAGTAATATAGTACTTTCTACCAACATAAAACATACAGAAGAAAAGTTAAATTGCAGTGTGACCTTTTTATATCTGACATATGATGTAATTATTCTGAAAGCATTCGGATGTCACCTGCCAGACACCATTTTCTGACAGCATGGTGCAGCCTGTACCCTGGATGGATTTGTCTGGCTGCCCTTCTCCCCATTTGGTAAAGGTCAGAGGTTGGTTCTTCATATCAGTCAGAAAATTCCCCTCAGCTCTGTTATTGTTGACGTTGATCCAGGCTTTTTTTAAATGTACCCCAAACACTTGAGTCAGTTTGCTGTTCTCCTCCTCGCTCAGGGGCAAAGCCAGCTCCAAGCCTTGTTGGGTGCAGAACTCGACGGCAGTGGAGAAAGAGTCTGTCTTCTTGTTGGACACAAAGTATTTCTGACCAACTCTCCGGACAAAGTCAAAGTTTATGACTAAAAAGAGAAGAGCATATGCAGAAAAAACAAATATAACTGATCGAGTGAAACCATTTGTTTTTACAAACTCACCTTTTGTTTTTGACCCAAGGTTCCTCTCTGTTCTTTCTCTCCGATGCCTTGCTCAAAGGCACCACGGCAGGGCCCAGGAGGTGAACCGGGACCTCTCCAAGTAGCAGACCACACTCCTATTTTAGGTCTCTTTGGGGACTTGAACCAGCAGCCCTACGGCTCCCAGTCCAAGCCCCTACTGAGCCACTGCATGAAAAAGCCCAGCATATGGTGTTTCAAAGAGGGTACTTACCCAGCTCGAACTTAGAAAATCTCACTGTTAAGGCTGTGTAGTCCTTGCTTCCACAATCTGGATTAAACACAATACATTCAATTACTAAATTGTAAATACTTTGGAGCTCACATGTGATTATATCAGGGCTGCTCGATTTGGAAAAAAATACGATTTGAGATCATTTTGACTGATCAATTGCGATATGATTGGCAATATTAAAGGAAATTACAATATAACATTATAATTTGCAAAAAAATACTTTATGAACATGTTTTGCTATTGCAAAATATTGTGCCAACTACTATTTGGATATTGCACTAGTCCATATTGCGAATTTAATAAAAAAGAAGATTTGTTTTGCAATCCAAGTCCCTTCACATCCAAGGCTCATAATTCAGTTCATCTTCAGTTCTTTTCATTATTAACATCACAATAACTCAGTAATGTTGTTACGTCTGCTGTTTGTAAATCAAATATTGCAGCCATCTTAAGTTGAAATTGTGCAGGACAATGAAAACAGTCAAATGTGCACATGTTATAGTATAGCGTTGAACACTCTATTGTAAATGACAAAAAGCCATTTTGTTTAGCTAAGCAAAGCCTATGAAAAATTGTTACAACTATAATGAGTTTGTTATATATATATTGTAAAATATCTTACCCTGGCAAACTCCAGGTCCTCCAAGTAGTCCACGTGGTCCAGTATCTCCTTTAGGACCCAAACTTCCTGTAGAGCGAGAACAAAATACCTGAATTCTCCTTCTCAGGGAATGCTCAATGTTTCTTATTAGTTAATTAATAATTAATACATTATGAAGTGAAGTTCAACATCTTGACACGAGAGGCACAACAGTGAGAATTTAGGGGACACCTTAATGGGTCAGGAGTTAGGGGGAAGCAAGCTCAATTTCGATCAAAGGCATTACAACCATTCAAGCACAATAGATGTAACAGTAGGCGTTAAAGAGGACATGTTATGATACTTTCCAGGTCACATTTGTATGTTGTGCTTCTACTCGCACACGTTTACATGCTTTAATGTTCAAAAAGGTCTTTATTTTCTCGTACTGCCCGTGGCAATGTGCCAGAATTCAGACAAAAAGGATGGTCTTAGTTTGGTCAGAAATAAAACTCTTCAGAACACTACTCTGCTGAAATTGAAAATACCCACCTTTTTGACCAGGAAGTCCAGCACCAGGTTCCCCACGTGTCCCAGGTGTCCCAGAGTCACCAGGTGGGCCAGATCCGGAGCTCCCAGGTTTCCCAGGTGTCCCAGGTGTCCCAGGACGACCAGCTGGACCGGGTGGCCCACAACATGCTGTCTGCCCATTAATAATATTGCTGCCAATAAAATTAAGCAGGCAGAAAACGCAGAATAGGGGCCACATCTTGATCTTCTCAGTGTAGAACTGAAACATTATATTAAATGAAAAGTTATTTAAAAGGACTTAATAACACAATCAAGTAATACATAGTGATAAGCAGAGAAGAACTCACCGTATAAATGAGAGTGATCTGCTGTGTGCTGCTTCCTCTCTACTTCCAAAGAAAAATGTTTCATGTATGAGTGATCTGGTCAACAGATGCAAAGTTTGGGATTTTTCTTAGAATAGAGGAAGTTTATCAGTCCAAGATCCTCCCTCTTTTTTTAACCCAATAATGATAGTGTAGTAATAAGATATATAACTTAACTTTGTTTCAATGAGATAACATAAGAATTGCATCGACTTTGCACCCTGATCTGTGATTTTAGGTGGCCATGATGGATTAAAAGACTCAAGTACACATATTTAAAGGTTGGTGACTAGATCTTTGCTATCTCAGTGACAAAATCAGTCCACAGCCAATGAGTGGGTGGGTGGAGGCTGCAAAAAACTCAGGAGCAGCTTGTCAGTCCCGCTTAGGATTGAGCCATTGTTGTTGCTGCTAGCTTAGAGGGTAACCCCTTCACTTTTATCAGCAGGTGGTATTGAGTAATTGTAGAATTTATTAATGGACCACACACTCGCTATTGCTAAAAAACATTTTAAAAGATTCCTCGGCATGCTAAAATCAATGAATGAATGTACTGTTGTGTTTACTGGGGCATATGCTTTAAGAATACATATTTTTGTTTGAATATACTTGAATAATATTTCATACATTGTTTACTTATTATTTTTCATATAGGAAAATATGTGCGAGAGTAATGCTGAAGCTGAAGCAGTTAAACACTTTTAATGATGATTTATGAAATGGTTACACTTGAAAGTAAAACTGTCTGAAAGCAGTTTGTCCCAATCTGAATCATTGAAGCAGTTTACATTTTGATTGATTAGTTCACAGATATGTCAGAATGCGAAAGTAATACTTTTTTCGCTAATTCCTTACATTTCAGACAGTAATATAGTACTTTCTACCAACATAAAACATACAGAAGAAAATTGCAGTTTGACCTTTTTATATCTGACATATGATGTAAGCATTCATGCAGCATTCGCTTGTCACTTGCCAGACACCATTTTCTGACAGCATGGTGCAGCCTGTACCCTGGATGGATTTGTCTGGCTGCCCTTCTCCCCATTTGGTAAAGGTCAGAGGTCGGCTCTTCATATCAGTCTGAAAATTCCCCTCAGCTCTGTTATTGTTGACGTTGATCCAGACTTCTTTGTGAATGTCCTCAAATAACTGAGTCAGTTTGCTGTTCTCCTCCTCGTTCTGGGGCAAAGCCAGCTCCAAGCCTTGTTGTGAGCAGAACTCAACGGCGCTGGAGAAAGAGTCTCTCTTCTTGTAGGACACAAAGTATTTCTGACCAACTCTCCGGACAAAGTCGTAGGATATCGCTGAGGAGAGGAAAATAACTCTCAGAAAATCAGGATTAAATCACTGAGTAAAGACATTTGTTTTCCATAAAGCCCAAATAGTTTTATCATCTTGCCACTGACACGTACAGTATGATTTCCCCTCGTGCCAAGGTGAAATGCATGGTCAACTTCTTTATCAGCATTTCACTTAGTTAAAGTTCCAAATACGATGTTAAAGAAAAACACGTTTGAAATTTTTGTTATTTTCTACCTTGCCTATTCCAAACAAAATATGAACTATAAATATAAAAATACTGTTCTGTCCTCAGCTTAATGAGATGAATGTTACCCAATAGAGCATTTCTTGCTCATTGCTCCTTTCTTGAACACCCTTGCATAGAAGAAGGGCCACATACTTCGAATGTACTGAGGTAAAGGTACAAAGTTAACACACACAACATCTGTGAATTCTTGCAAAGCAGAGATGTAATAATCATGATCCACACTCACTCACAACATCGTAGTCCTTGAATAGGAAACTTACCCAAGTCTAACTTAGCAATGCTCTTCTTTAACGTGCCACTGTCCTCGATAAGGGAACCAATGTTTTCTGGATAAAGAGGAATCATTTCAGTTGCCAAAGTTGCAATACATTTGTGCTAAATGATGTGCAAAAGAAAGTCTTATTGTTTCCTTTACCTTTACAATACTGTACACCTTACAATATAATGCAAACCAGTTTACAATCCACTGCAATAAATACAAGCACTATGAATAAATACCTTTAATTCAAGTTATATTGATTCACATCTGTGCTTATTTAAAGGGGTTTTGTGTTCAAATGTGTAGTTTACATCTGATTTTAGATAATGATGACTTGTGAAACTTGATGATAACTAATTTATGAATAATTATTTCTGCCCTAACCCTTCCTTTGTAATTATAATAAAGATCTTAATCTTTTTACAGTTTTATAGACCTCAAAATCCAAGGGGCAAACATAACGGACACATGACATCTAGTTTCCATTTGGACTTGGGTTTGGATTTATCTCTCTCCAACATACTGTATTAATTCAGAGAAAAGTAAGATCAAGCTTTTAAATGCCCTAAACTGAGAGTAAAACAAAAAGGTGTCCAAATCTAACGTCCATTTCCTTGTGCATAAACTGAACAAGTTCTTACAAAAAAATATTTCTAAAAAAGTTGAACTACCTGCATGCTGAATTGTTATTGTTTACTTTTAAAACGTACTTACATTTTTCTGTTAATATATTCTCTTAAAAAGAAAGAAATCACAGTTTTCACACATACCAACGCTCCCAGTTGCTCCAGGTGCTCCACGCATTCCAGGAAATCCAGGTGGTCCAGGAAATCCACGTCCTCCAGGAAATCCACTAATCCCTGTATCCCCTGAACAGCAGATACAAATAAATTAAACAAGACCAAAAAGCCCAAGTCACACTAAACAAAAAAAGTGTTAGATCGATGACATAAACATTTAAAAATCAGCTGCAACCTGAAGTGAAATGATTCATCTTTCAGGTGGAACATGTTTTAATAGCACAGCATTTCTGTTGTTTTGTTATGTTTACAAATGTTACATTATGATCTAAGGTGCTCTTCTGAGCTAACTTGGCTGGCACAGAGCATCGGGTGTCATGGTATACAAGGAAGACCTGGTGTAGGAAGGGTGACATGCAACTGTCTATCTTTACAACCCTTGCTAGGATTAATTTTGTTCTAATTTCTTACATAAGAAAAAAAAAAAGCACTTGCAATTTAGCTTTGAGCTGTGTATTTTGGAGTGTTGCACTCCTGTTGACATCTGTTCAGCCGGTATTGTTTATTACTTTGTCAAATAGTTTTGTTGTCATCGTGGAATAATATGGTCATGGAGACAATTACTGTAGTGTGAACCACCATAGAAGCGGTTTTTCCTGGTGATCATATATGTCCATCTGTTTTCCGTGGACAGATTTAATCACCTTGATAGGCCTAAAACTTTTCAAGATGCAGCTGCGAAAACTTGTATGTAATTGAGATCAAAATAAAGGTCAAGTTGAAAAAGAGTGTAGTCCAAACAGGGCACTGGAACTAGGGGGTAGCAAGTTGGGAAGCCTCTGGGTCAGGAGCAGAGGTGGGAAGTAGTGGAGTACAAATACTTCGTTACAAGTACATTTTTCTGATATCAGTACTTTACTCCACTACTTACCGTTTTCTGACAGCATGGTGCAGCCTGTACCCTGGATGGATTCTTCTGGCTGCCCTTCCCCCCATTTGGTGAATATCAGAGGTCTGTTTTTCACATCAACTATAAAATTCCCCTCCGCTTTGTTATTCTTCTCGTTGAGCCAAGCAGTTTTGAAATCCCCAAACACTTGAGTCAGTATGTCGTTCTGGGGCAAAGCCAGCTCCAACCCTTGTTGTGATCAGAACTCGACGGCGCTGGAGAAAGAGTCTCTCTTCTTGTAGGACACAAAGAATTTCTGACCAACTCTCCGGACAAAGTCAAAGTTTATGACTGAAAATACAGAGAAAACATTACTTAAACATGAATGATGTTTGCCATTGGGATCAAAATAATATGAAATAAAGTATTGGAAATGTAGTGGTGTATAGGTGTGTGTGTGTGTGGGGGGGGTTACCTTGGTTGTTTATTGGCTAATGGTTACACAAGCCAAACAATCGCTCATTTTCAGACAGGTTTTTATATGGACAACATTTTTTTCCTGAAACTTTCAGAATCTCTTTACACAGAGGGGATTCTATTTTTATCTATTCTTTTTTTTTTTAGGTGACCTTTAAGAACTTGCAAAAGGCTTGCAGGATATAATACTTCCTCGCGACTTCCAAAGAACTGTGATCGAGATCATGGTTAGAGGGCTTGTGTAAGAAATGTAGTCCAGCGTAAACAAGTGACGTTGTTGTTTATGTTGGTGATGTCATTTCGTATAGCACAGTGTTGGATGATTTGAACATTTCCAGAGAATATCAGGGAATTCTCAATATTGTTTCTATGTAAAGCATGGTCAGTGTGCATTTCTAATGTTTGAAATATTTCTGTCAGTGTCAATAGTTAGAAGTACGTCTTAGGACTGTTAATTTTTGTACTGCTTTTCCTTATAGTTGGCGAATGTCATTTTACCAATACTTTACACTTTCTACTTCACATTTTATCACATAAATTGGCCACCAAACCAGTTTAATAAGTTGGCCTGGAGTCTTGAATGATTGAAATGAGACTCTTTCATTGCAGTACACTTTATTGTGAGGTACTGCTTAAAGGATTTGTTGTTGTTGTTACTTAACATATATCATACATTTTTATAAATGTATGCCAGTACTTATAGTACAAATTATTTTTCATATAGATGGTAATGGTGCAATGATATGTTCCGTTGGTAGGGACTAATATCTTGGATAACGTTTTGGGGAGGTAAAGTAAATATTTATCAGTTTAATGGTTTCTAATCTGGGATTCAAGACGTATTTCTGACAAATGATGTAGGCACTTGAGGAGCATTCATGTGTCACTCTCCAGACACCGTTTTCTGACAGCATGGTGCAGCCTGTACCCTGGATGGATTCTTCTGGCTGCCCTTCCCCCCATTTGGTGAATATCAGAGGTCTGTTTTTAGGATCTTTGTTATTGTTCACATTGAGCCAGGCAGTTTTGAAATATTCCCCAAACACTTGAGTCAGTATGCTGTTCTCCTCCTCGTTCTGGGGCAAAGCCAGCTCCAAGCCTGGTTGTGATCAGAACTCGACGGCACTGGAGAATGAGCCTCTCTTCTTGTAGGACAGAAAGTATTTTTGACCA